ATTACAAGACGAGTGGTGGGACTGTGACCACAGTAGTTTCCCTGATGGCACAGTGGTGTACTTAATTTAAAACAGCAGCTAATTAAAACAGCAACGAACAGTAGCTAATTAAAATATTAACCTAAAGGAAGAACAAGCAGAAATGTACAACAGCGCATATCCGATTTTAACAGTATTTGTAAATGGGAAGAGCCCGGCGTGACCTAAAGTACTGGAGCAATCTTGAAACTAATCACCACGGTCGTGACGGTGGACCAAGGTCAAGAAGGGCAGTACGTTTGGTGAATGACTGTGGCTCGAATTTGTTCTCCGGCGGAACAGGTCTGCCAGCTTTGAACAATTCCGGATGTGCTTGTTGTAGTTCCTGAAAATGCAAAATTTGAGAATTTAATCTAAAATTCTAATTAATTCTGAGTAAGCCTCTTCAACAATCGGGCTGAACAACTATGGATAACACGTACAGCTCAACAACAATTTTGTCATTTACAGCCAATTATTTCTCACATCCCATAAATTTCAATTAGAAATTCTCCTGGTCAAGAGCGTGTACCTCATCGTGGTTTAGGAGTGACAACATTCAAAGCGAGGTAGTAATGCTCAACACACACCAGTGAAAATTCGAAACGGCTGAGATCTTGCCAAAGAGATGCCTCTGTCGGGAGAATCGTCGAGTTGTAATCCCTTCAGAAGACGGATCAAACCGGCAGTATTATGACCATAGGATGAAGTGGCACTAGTCAAAGGAACTGGAGAAGCTACTACCAACTACATTGCTGAAGATCGACCTATGAATTACAGATGATGATGTACCGAAGTAAGCAAAAATTACATGAAATCAGGTGACAGTTGGCTCCAGGCATCTACGCATTTGCCAATGCACTACCTTCCAAACTACTACCATTTCCCCTTTCCCCCCCCCCGCGCCCCCCGAGTAATGACAGTTACGAGTGAGAGTCGAGAAGCTACCGAAAGGTGTGCTGAGGGACCGCAGAAGCAGTGTAGAAACCTGAAAAAGCACTTTTTTCCCTGAAGACGAAGAGGGAAAGCAGAGAAGGAGCAGCGGTCAGAAAACTGGATGGTCAGTTAAGGTAGCCGTAGAAAAGGGAATATTAGTTTGATGGTGTGGGCATGCGTTACGATGAATAACTACTGAGTGAGCTAGTAGAATACTTGGTCTGGCCGAAGTTCAAATTTTGAGGATTTTATATTCTTCTTAAAAAATTCCAACTTTGATAATTCAAGGCGCAAAAGCAGTTTTTTTTCTTTCATTTTACTGAAATGCAAACAAAAGTTTACCGTATCATCCCACATGCGTTCTTTCGGATAACTCCTCTCGTTTCCTCGCATCGTTTCCCAACCCTAAATTATTTCTGGCATGATACATAAGTACTCCCAAACAAAGATCTGACTGCATAATTCACGAAAATAATGACTAACAAACAAGAAATAATTTGAAAAATACAAGAACAAACATTCAGTGTGGCCGCAACTAACAAGCGAGGATTTGTAGCATTTTATCCCACTTATTGTCTTAACCTACTACGGCCGATCCACATTTTTTACTTCTTTAGACCGTCCACTTTTAAGTCTACAATTCAGCCTTCTAACGGCCGCAAGTTATC